ATTGAGCATATACTTGAGCGTTATTTCACCTGGGAGCAAGGAAGCTGGAATATTGATACACCAGCTCTCATCAGTCACTGACTGAGTGCTGCTTCCAAGCAGTGTTCGTTCACCAGAGCAGCCTGCAGCCTCCTAGGCTTTGGCATAGATACGAGCAGTTGAAGATCAGGAGAGTATATGAAGCAACAGGGCCTGAGGGATATGAACAGGGCATCAAGGATTGAGCCATGCCTGTTACTTCCTGTTACTGTGGAAACAGCACCTATTGCTTTACCTTTGCTCCTTCCTTTCGCCTTTTCACATCTTTACCCAAGGCCAGCTCAATGCTCACATCTATCTTGCTTTGCCTCCTGTGAACATCAGGCATCTTATTTCTCGTAATGGCACCTCGTGATTTCTGTTTCGTGGTATGATGGTCAAGTACCTACATGTATATTATCTACCTCATTTAAGCTCCTTGGGAACCCAGGTATTACCTTACATATCTGTGTAAGCCGCAGAGTATCTGGCACATAAGTGCTTCATTAGTATGTAATCAATGAATTTTCACCTCTAACTAGTAGGTGGTTTTGCGAACAGGCTTGAGAGGAAAGCCCTTGGGCTACTGAACTCCCACTTCCTAACTTTAACAAGGAGACTGTCATAAACTACAGGGAGTTACTGGATAAATCCTAAAGTCCGGGCAACAAGGATTCATTTTTTCTTGTTGTTTTAAGGAAACTTTTTTTAAGTGTATACTTTAGCACTGTTAGGTACATGCACATCATTGTGTAACCATCTCCACCTTCCATCTCCAGAGGTTTTTTTATCTTCGCAAACTTACACTCCATACCCATTAAACAGCAGCTTCCCACTCCTCCTTCCCGCTAGTCCTTGGAAATTACCATTCTGCTTTCTGTCTCAATGAATCTGATAAGTGGAATTTTTTTCCCCCTTTGGAGAAATGTCTGTTCAACTCCTTTGCCCATTTTTATTTTATTTATTTACTTATTTATTTTTTAAATGTTTTATTTATTTCTGAAAGAGAGGGAGAGACAGCATGAGCAGGGGAGGATCAGAGAGAGAGGGAGACACAGAATCTGAAACAGGCTCCAGGCTCTGAGCTAGCTGTCAGCACAGAGCCCGATGTGGGGCTCAAACCCACGAACCACGAGATCATGACCTGAGCCGAAGTTGGATGCTCAACTGACTGAGCCACCCAGGCGCTCCCTTTGCCCATTTTTAAAATCAAGTTGTTTTTGATGTTGTTAAGGAAACTTTTTAATTTAAGTCTTCTAGGATTAGTTTTTGGGTGTCCTTGTCTTAAGCATAATTATGTAATGACTTGTCAAGTAACCATGAATCAGCAGCTTAGGGACTTTAGCTCTGATCTGATTTCCGCCATTCTTTCCAGAGTAATCATAGAATTTTAGAATTAAATTAGCTTCAGAGTGCGTCTTAGTCTGTTATGGCTGGTATAACAAAACAGCACAGACTGGGTGGTCTACGATCAGGGTCGAAGACCAGCATGGGTTCTGGTGAAGGCCCTCTTCTGGGTTGCAGACTGTGGACTTCTCTGTGTGTCCTCACACAGTGGAAGGCAGCTGGGGACATCTGTTGGGTCTATATTAAGAGTGCTAATTCTGTTCATGAAGGGTCTTCATGATCTGATCACCTTCCAAAGGCCCCACCTCCTGATACCATCACATTGGGCATTAGGATTACAATATGAGAATTTGGTGGGGAACACAGACATTCAGACAATAACAGAGCAACCAGATGAGGAAACTGGACCCATTTCTTTTTCCATTGTGCCCTGGGCTACATGACATAGCCCCTGTGAGTAGCATTTTCTTTATCTTTAAACATGCCTTTCTTTGCCTCCTTTCTTGTATCCCTACAAGTATTTTGAAGACTGCTGAATTGATTTTTAGTTATTGTAAAGTATTTACATTAGACATGAGGCTGTGTGTATGTTGAACTTAACAGTTTTTAGAATTGTTCACACTGTCATTTTTAAGTAAGAAGTTTTCTTTAGAAAACTATAGGCCTTTCTTTTTCTAGGGAGATAAGGAGATGAGACCAAAAGGCAGGAAGTAATGCTGACTTCAACTTAAAGTGATACCCTTCTGTTAATCTTTGCAAATAAATAAGCAGTCAGGTTTGCTGACTTGTTGCTGTTCGGCAATGTTAGACAATGCTTTTATAAGTCCTAATCAGAATCAGTCTGGTTCAGTGTCCTATCTGAGATCAAGTAGTTTGGAGCTGCCACATAAAAGGGGATTACTTATGCCCCTGGCACTAATTCATGGCTGCATTGGCGATGGCTTCCTGTTCAAAGGTGTCAGTTGGCAGCAGGGAAGTTTAGGATGCTTACCCTTACAAAAAAAAAGATCTCCGGGCAGCTCCTGATTTTTATTTCTCCATTGAAAGTTTTTTTTTAATTGTGATAAAATATATATAACAAAGCAATCAGTGTGGAAACTGTATGGAGGCTCCTTAAAAAACTAAAACTCGAATTACCATATGATCTCATAATTCCACCACTGAGTGTTTGCTCAAGGAAAGTGAAAAAATATATGCACCCCTGTTTATTGCAGCAACATTTACAATAGCCAAGCTACAGAAGCAACCCAAGTGTACATTGATAGACAAATGGATTAAAAAGGTGTGTGTGTGCGCGCACGTGTGATAGAATGAGACCTTGCCATTTGCAACAATGTGGATGGACCTAGAGGGTATTATGTTAAGTGAACTAAGTCAGACAGAGGCAAACAAATATCATATGGTTTTATTTATATGTGTAATCTGAAAACCAAAATAAACAAAAACCAGAAACAGATTCATAAATACAGAAAACAAACTGGTGGTTGCCAGGGAGAGGCACAAACTTCCAGTTTTAAAGTAAGTAAGTCACAGAGATGAAAAGTATGCCATAGGGAATATAGTCAATAATATTTTGATGGTTTACAGTGACAGATGGTGACTACACTTATCATGATGAGCACTGAGTAATGTGTAGAATTGTCAAATCAGGGACGCCTGGGTGGCTTAGTCGGTTAAGCGTCCGACTTTCGCTTAGGTCATGATCTCGCGGTTCGTGGGTTCGAGCCCCGCGTCGGGCTCTGTGCTGACTGCCAGCTCGGAGCCTGGAGCCTATTTCAGAGTCTGTGTCTCCCTCTCTCTCTGACCCTCCCCTGCTCAGGCTGTCTCTCTCTCTCTCTCTCCTAGAATTAAAAAAAAAAAAATTAAAAAAAAAAAAGATTTCATCTAGGTTGGTGTCAATGGGAGAAAAACAGAAGTGTCTTGACAATCACAAGTAATACANGAGCCTGGAGCCTATTTCAGAGTCTGTGTCTCCCTCTCTCTCTGACCCTCCCCTGCTCACGCTGTCTCTGTCTCTCTCTCCTAGAAATGAATAAAAATATTAAAAAAAAAAATTGTCAAATCACTGTTGTACACCTGAAACTAATATAATATTGTATGTCAACTATGCTTCATAATACAAATTTTATATATGTGTATATATATATGTACACACACATACATATGCACATAACATAAAACTCTCCATTATAATCATTTTTAAGGGTACAATTCTGTGGCATTAATTACATTCACCTTAATGTGTAGCCATCACCACTACCCATTTCCAGAACTTGTTCATCCCAAACTGAAACTCCATACCCATTAAACACAGCTGTTCTTTCTTCCCTCCCCCTAGTCCTTGGCAACTACCATTCTACATTCTATCTCTATGAATTTGACTACCTCATAAGTTGAACCATACACTATTTGTCTTTTTGTGTGTTGCTTATTTCACTTAGCATAATGCCTTCAAGATTCATCCATGTTGTAGCATGTATCAGGATTTCCTTTTCACTGCTGAATAATAGTCCATTACATGTGTTTACCACATTTTATTCATCCAGTCATCCACTGATGGGCATTTATATTGTCTCCACATTTTGACTGTCCTAAGCATTCTTCTGTGAACATTGGTGTACAAATAGCTCAAGTTCCTACTTTCAAGTCTTTGCTGTATACCTAGAAGTGGAGCTGTTGCGTCACATGGCAGTTCTATGACGAACTTTCTGAGGAACCTCCATACTGTGTTCCATAGTGACTGCACCATTAGATATTCCCACCATCAATGCACAGGTTTCCAGTTTCACCACATCCTTGCCAACACCTGTTTTCTGGGGATTTTTGGTAACAGCCATCCCGATGGCTGTGAGGTGGTAGGTATCTCATTGTGGTTTTGATTTTCATTTCCCTAATCATTAGTGAGGCTGAAATTCTTTTCATGTGCTCCTTAGGCATTTATATATTTTCTTTGGAGAAATGTCTGTTCTAGTCCTTTGCCCATTTTTGAATTAGGTTGTTTGGTTGTGGCTGAATTTTATCCAATGAGCCTTTTAATTGGCAAATAATTTTTTAAAAAATCTTTGTTGATTTTTGAGAGAGAGAGACAGTGCGATCAGGGGAGGAACAGAGAGAGAGAGGGAGACACAGAATCCGAAGCAGGCTCCAGGCTCTGAGCTGTCAGCACTGAACCCAGCACGGGGTACAAACCCATGAACAATAAGTACATGATCTGAGCCTGAGTTGGATGGTTAACTGACTGAGCCACCCAGGTGCCCCTAATTGGCAAATACTTTAAAGAGGGTGTTTGCTGCATGATGCCTTATGAATATATGACCATTTGTCTTGTTTATTTTATTTCTTGGGGCACCTGGGTGGCTCAGCCAGTTGAGCATCCAACTCTTGATCTCGGTTCAGGTCACGATCTCATGGTTTGTGATACCGAGCCCCACATCAGTGCAGAACCTGCTTGGGACTTTCTCTCTCTCCATCTCCCTGGCTCATAATCTGCCGCGCCCCCCCCCCCCCCCCCAAATAAATAAACTTACAAAGAAAATATTTTAAGAAAATCTTTTTACAGATAGGTAGATGTATGTCAATATATAAATAATAAATATATATATATATATATATTTTTTTTTTTTTTATCCCAACAGTATATCCTTTCAGGCTCTGATGACTTTAACCTGTACATGTGGAGAATTCCTGCAGATCCAGAAGCAGGTGAGTATATCCCTAGTATGAACCTACTGCTAATGTTGGCTCTACCTGCCTTTGGCATGCTATACCCCAAGAGGACTGATCTATAGCAATAGAGGATGATGTTTCCCTTTGAAGATAATAAACTTATTAGAAAAGCGACCAAAGGAAACTTTAGCATAAAAATTAGAAGCCAAATTTCACTCTAACCTTCATACAGATCCTTACTAACAAAGTGATGCTCAGATTTTTTTCCTCCTAAGAACTTTTCTTTAGACTTCATAGATCTCCATTATGTCCATTTTTCTCTCTCCTATTTCACACCTGGAATATTTTTATCTTTTATATGCTTTTTCTTTATTATCCATCCTGTTAATTACATACAAAGAGTTATTAGGGCCTCTTCCTTTCTTTTGGCCTCACTGGTGATATCAACTAAAGGGAAACTTTCTTTGTTGAGGCATAGGCTCACTCCCTGGGGTTTGGCTGACCCCAGATATCAAAGAAATTAGGAAGAAATATTTCTGCATTTTCTCTAGACGTATTCTGAAAAACACCTGCAGCTTTCCATAAATTTGGATCTAGGCCATCTGTGCTTTCAAACAGCATAGATCATCCTTCATTCTTGATAATAGTGACCTCATGTGCTCAGTTGACTGTTACACTGGTTGCTTCCTACCGGTAGAAAAATGTCTATATTTTATTCTCAGGACAGCTCAATACTGCCATCTGCTCCAATGATACATGGCATCAACCTGGAAAATGGCCATTAGGAAAGTAATAGAGGACTATGCCAAGTGTATTACATAAAATTTGTCTAGTGCTCAGAGTTTAGGGAAGTTGTTGGCTTGCCCATTACTGAATCGACAATATTGTTACCAAATATCCACCTTTCAAAACTTGTCAAAGCCCACTTTCAATGTAACTGTCCTATTACTGTGGTCTGATTACTAAACAAGTTGCAAAAGGCCTTTTTTCCCTTCTGGAATTTAGAAAGCATGAGTGAGGCAGCTTACCTGTGAAGCTCAACCAGAAGGGACCACAGCGGTCTACCTGAACAAAAGTGGTGTTCTAGCGCTAGAGGTATTAGGTCTGTATTATGTCTCCTAGCCCTCTAATCTTCTAAATTGATTAGCTGAGAAATTATCTTTTACCTCATTTAGAAAAGCTTTTCATTATTAAGTCAATGTGACTTTTAAAATAGAAAGTGGATAACCCCCTTCCCATGGGACTGTTCTCTGGAATCTTTTTCATGTTTGTATAAAGAGAGAATAAGGAAGAACTAGCAATAGTACTAGATTTTCTAGATTTTTTCCTCTACTAGCTAAATTTTGTACTGATTTAGAGTATGGGCCACAGTTAGGCTGACTTTTATTTAATTTTTAATTTTTTAGAGGGAGAGAGCGAGCGAGTGTGAGTACACACGAGTAGGGGAGGGGCAGAGGGAGCAAGAGAGAATCCTAAGCGGGCTTCACCCTTGGCGTGGAGCCTGACACACGGCTCAGCTCCACAACCCTGGGATCGTGACCTGAGACAAAATCATGAGTTGGACACTCAACCGACTGAGCCACCCAGGTGCCCCAGGCTGACTTTTTAGGTATAGATACTTATACAGTCTTTGCGTTGGCAGGAGCCTGATAGTTGATTTAGGATTCTAATATTAAAACCAGGAAATGGATACCCAGACTTTCCAAGTATTTTTATAGGCACAGCTGCTTTAAAGGAATTCAGTTCTAGAACCTCAAATTCCATATATATTCTTTCATAAAATCAGTATTCCTAAGAAAGTAACCATTCTCCTTTCCCACCTCCCCTTTTCCCTTCCTCTACTTTAGAAAACAAAACACCCAGAAAACTGAAAATACTCCATAAATTTCTGACCATTTGAACATGGTGCATTGCTGTGGGGTATAAAAACCTCCAAGATGCAAAAATATATTACGCTGAAATTTGGTGGGGGGATAATGTGGAAATATTATTTCAAGGAAGAAAAAAGGATGATGTAAAATTTCTATTAAAAAAGGACTTGTAGGGGCACCTGTGTGGTTCAGTTGGGTAAGCATCCAACTTTGGCTCAGGTCATGATCTCTCATTTCGTGAGTTTGAGCCCCACATCAGGCTCCCTGCTGTTAGTGCAGAGCCCACTTGGGATCATCTGTACCCCCAACCTCTCTGTCCTTCTCCTGCTCGTGTATGCGTGCACACTCTCTCTCTTAAAAAAGAATAAACATTTGTTTTACAAAAAGGACTCCTAGGAGTAGATCCAGCAGAGGAAGCAGTAGGTAGCTCCTGCCATAACAGTGTCAGAGAGCTGTGGCAACAAAGAGTGCTAGAAGAACTCAAATTCTGGAGAAGGAAGAGCCCTTCCTAGCGGAGCAGACAGTGCTGACTATTGTCTTTCCTAGGGGCATCTGGGCGGAGGCTACAGATGGGTTTGCCTCAGGCAGGCTGCTGGGGTCAGAAGAAATCAGAATTTGCAATGACTTCATAGGTTGATATGACAGGGTAGAATCTAGGGGTGCCTCAAACACAGGGCTGTTCTTCCTGGTAGGACTTTTGCTGAGTGCTGGGGTTGTCCTTGGAGCTAGGGGGCTGAGCCGGAGAGGTAAAATTCAGTTCCCACCTTAACACAGTGGTTTTGGAGACAAAGGCCCCCTAGTGGGAGGGTCCTGCTCCACAGGGAATTTGCCAGATTGTGAACCTGCACAGGAAAGGAGAATGAAGAGTTAAGCTTAAAATCTCCAAAGGACAGAACATTCAGAGCAGACGACCACAGAGACTTGTCAGACTCCCCATTAAAAGTCCAGGAGGCTTACACTTGAGGATGGGGCTGGACCAGAAAGGCTGAATGAGCTATCCAGCAGTCTCCTGGTGCTTAGGTCACAGACTCCAGCTAGAGAAGACACCTGCCGCATGTACCCTCCAGGTCTTGCCTTTGAGACCTCTGAAACCAGAAGTAGACTCACTCCTACTAAAGAAGCAACTCAGCCCTGACCTAGTTCCTTCTGATTAGGTTGAAGGTGATCAGCACTTTACCTTATCTTCTCTAGGGTGGAATGGGTGAATGCCATATGGAGGAAATCAGCTTCAGTCTCAGTGTTGGTCTGCTAGGGCTGCTAGAACAAAATCCCACAAAATGGGTGACTTAAAGAGCAGAAACGTATTTTATCTCACAGTTCTGGAGTTTAGGAGACCAAGGTCAAGGTGATGGCAAGTTTGATTTCTCCTGAGGCCTCTCTTCTTGGCTTAACCACCTTCTCACTGTGGTCTCGCGTGGACTTTTCTCTTTGTACATACATTACTGGAATCCCTTCTTATCAGGACACCAGTCCTACTGAATTAGAATCCTACCCTTATACCTTCATGTAACTTCAATCACTGTCTTAAAAGCCTTATCTCCAAATACAGTCACATTGGAATTAGGGCTTCAACATTTGTACCTGGGGGAGACATTTCAGTCCATAGCAGTCTCTATGGTTAGTTTTACAAACATATGACATACATGTGTCATATGTATATAAAACATATATGTGTATACACATACACACACACACACACATATACTCAGTATCCAGCATATGATAAAAAAAATTATGAGGTATGAAAATGTGACCAGTAATCAAACAGAGAAAAATACTGGGAGCCAACCCACAAAATTATCCATATATTGAAGCTAACAGGTAAAGACTTTAAATATTGTACCTATAATAAAGAAAATAGAAGAAACATGGAGAATATCAATGGAGAACTGGAATCTGTTTAGAAAACAATCATGTAGACATTCTAAAACTGAAAACTGTATCTAAAACTAAGAATGTGTTGGGTGGATTTAACCTACAGTGAACAGACTCGTGAATAGAAGGCAAGTCAATAAAAAATATCAAAGGTCCATGAGAACAGAGAACGGAAAGAGCAGAACAGTATAAGAAACGAGTAGAACACAGACAATCTAGCATATATGAAATTGAAGTTTCAGAAGGATAAGAGAGAGAAAATGAAGCAGAAACAATATATGAAGAGGTAATAGCTAAAAGAATTTCCCAAAACAAATGAAAGATACTAATTCTCAGATTCATGAAACTCAGTAATCACAAACAGGATAAATACAACACACTTAGGCACATCATAAGTCAAACTTTTGAAAACAAAAGATAATGAGGAAAAAAACAAAAGCAGCCTAAGAAAATGTACAAATTACTTATAAATGAGCAACAATAAGTGATGGCCCGATTACGGAAATCAGAATATAATAGAATGATATCTCTGAAGTGCTTAGAGAATTAAAACCTTCCAGCCCAGAATTCTATATCCAGGGAAAATGTCTACCAAAAATGTAGGTTTAATAAAGACATTTTTTGCAAAGAAATTATGGATTTTAATGTGATCGCTTACAGCCCTCAATGAATTAATGCATCTAAATAGTGAGCATTGACAGGTGCCAACATCATAAAAAGAAAGGCAATTAGACATTATGTGCCTCCTGATAAAAGGACACAATACTACTAATAGGCTTGCCAAATGAAACAGCTCTGAATGAAACCTCAGGACCCAGCTTTCCATCTGCAGGTAGCACAGCGGACAGAGGAGCGTATTATACCGTACTGTGATGATACCATCCACAAACTCCAGACTGTCAGAAACGATAGGTCAAATGTTTTCTCCAATAAATACATTCGAATGAAAAAAGAAAGGATGGACAGGAGGAAACCTATTATTTAAGTAACAAAAAAGGCATATTAAATATAACAAAAACCAGACAAAACTGAGGTTTTAGGAATGCACACTTGGATGAATAAAATTATTGAAAATGCAGAGATATGGTTAATATAGCAATCAGGATAATAGTTGATTTTAGGGGAGGGAAAGGGCTGTAATTGGAATGAGGCACATGGGGCATGAAAATGGCCAGAAAAAAATTCAATTTTTTGATCTGAATGTTGATTTATAAGGGTGTTCACCTTATAAAACTTCACTTTTTGTGCTGTTTTCTGTATTTTTTAATTCCTCAATGAAGAAAAAGAAAA